CCACCCACCCCCTCCACCCACCTAAAAAAACATTGTTTAACTTTGTAGGTGAAAAGAAATATTGTTTAAAGGTAACGCGGATGGAAAGATTAGATTTTTTAAATAAAAGGAAACGATAAAAACAAACCAGTGATATTATGACTTTCCTTACAAAATCTTTTAAATTGGTGCATTTTGGATTTATGGGTGGTTTTTTATAAAAGCAATTTCCGTTTTCGAAAAATAAGTTTATTCTTTGTGAATTTTATGTTAAACACATTCCTTTTGAATGAATTATATCTGTTCCAAATTAGAACATTCTAGTACAAATCGTGTGTTAGATGTTAAGAAAAAAGGTTGTACAGTTGTTGTTTTTGGATCACCCTGTATTTTCCGAATTATTTTGTAACTAGTATCTCTTTTTCTATTGGGATGTTGCGTCTCTCTCTGTCCAGGTCTACTATGACAAGAAGTGTAGAAATAGCCCGTATCTCTAATAATCTAAATTGGTTTGGGGAGGAGGGGGGGGGGTGCTGAATGCATTCAGTTATAATCTTGTTTTTAGTCTGTCACTAAGCTTCTTTCCTGGAACAAAATTCCGCAGTGTGCTATGAGCTTGTTTTTTATCTCATAAAAATCAAGCCAAAGAACAAACAAACAAACACATAAAGTAAATGTAAACTCACATTTGTCATGTGATTACACCGGGATTGGTCATATGGAGTCCTACAGCCATGGATCAGTTGTAGATCAGTGACGTCACCTTCTCTCTGCCAATCGTACAGTGCATTGTACACAGGTGTTCCCTGGAAGCAAACAGAATGAAAAAAATAATAATAATAGGCAGAAAGAGATGAAAAGACTGCGAAGGTGTTTACCTTGTTGCAAATCCCCCTCCAATGCGCTGTTTACGGGCAGAACATGGGAATCACGTACAAATAAATGTAACAACCTTTGTGCGTCTCCATAATAGGGATGCTCATTAACGGCAAGGCATTGTAACTAAAATATAGATCATTATAACGACGAAAACTGCTCAATTTCATAATGTTCCAAAAACATCATCAATGATCTACATCGATACTTTTTGCAAAACACAGCGAGATACTGGACTATGACTATCATATTAATATGTTTCTTTTGAAGACCTATTTAGTTGAGTTCATACGTGAATTATTTCAAGTTGGCGTGAACACGGACGCATCATTTTGCAAGCAAGTAGCATTGAATAAAAGGAGCATTTGGATTGAAGTAAAATGGACCGACTGCACCAGTTTCTACAAGCCACTCACATTTTACAAATGCCAAGTTTGCTTTGCTCCAATTTCGGGCCACATAACTTTTGCTCCAGCCACAGGCTATTCTACAAAGATTATTATTTTGTTCGAAAGACCTGGAGCATTTAGAGTTGGGAAGGAATAATTTGATAAAGACTTTTATAAACGTTATTTCCAATAGCTTTTGCAGGTCGTATTTCGCATGTCTGGATAACCTTGAAAACTCGCCTTATAAACAAATTAAAAGAGCGCCCTTTTGGGGATCCGAAACAAGAGCTACGTCACCACACAGAAATCCAGTGTTGTACAATTCAAGCTAATGTCAAGGGATACATCAATACCGCGTACATTACGACCGAATGCCTTGTTTCCAAACTTATGGAATTCAGTAAATAGGGATTACAGGAACTCAACACATGTAAAACTCGCTACAGCTGTATTGCCCTGAGCTTACCACGTCTGTTAGAAGTAGTAAAGAATAATAATATTATCATCATTTACGTATTATTACTATTTTTATTCCAAATGTACAAATATTATTACTTTTGATTATTATCATTATTGCTATTTAATTATTATTGTTTTGAAAACTTTTTAAGGATTACTAAGCTTTAGTAGTAGTAGTAGTAGTAGTAGTAGTAGTAGTAGTAGTAGTAGTAGTAGTATTTTATCAATGGTTTTGCTCACCTGTTGTACTCGTTCAAAGTTAGTGTAGCAGTGACGAGGACCTGGATAGTCGGCCTTACAGTTGACGACCCAGTTAGCCCATCGCTCAAGGTAACCGTCCCAGGACTGTGGAGGAGGAAGGGTAAGTGATAAAGTGGCTGTTGCTGCTGCTGTTGTTGTTGTTGTTGTTGATGTTGTTTTAGTTGTTGTTGTTGTCGTTTTTGTGCTGCTGTTGTTGTTGTCGTCGTCGTTTTTTTGGTGGTGGTGTTGTCATTGTTGTTTTTGTTGTTGTTGGTGGTGGTGTTGTTATGGTCGTCGTTGTTGTTGTTGTTGTTGTTGTTGTCGTTTTTTATATTGTTGTTGTTGCTATTGGTGTATGGTTGTGGCTGTAGTTGTTGTTGTCTCATTGCTATGTTGTTGTTAAGGAGCTAGAAGGGAGGAAGAAGGAGGGGCAGGAGGAGGAAAGGGTGCGGAAGAGGAGGGGGCGATGGAGGACAAGAAGGAGCAGGGAGAAGGAGGGAGGTTGAATTTCCTGAAAAAACTGAAGGTTAAAATCTGACAGACAGACAGACAGTCAGACAGACAGACATACAGACGGACAGACAGACAGATAGACAGACAGACAGACAGGCAGACAGACAGACAGACAGACACACGGACAGACAGACAAACGGGCAGACAAATGGACCGACAAACAAGTGGACAGACTAACAAACAGATGAATAACGCAGGAACGGATTACATGAAAACAAAGGTTGTAAGCAGGCAGAAAATGCAGGCTCTCCTGAGAAAGGGAAAGCCGAATGGAGAAGAGATGAAGGAAATAACTGATAAAAAGGAATACGGCTGGAAACGAGAGAGTGTGAGAGAGAAACGGAAATTAGGAAAGGGAAAGATGGAGTGATAGAGAGAGGAGGATCCTAAGAGAGAGAACGTTGGCGAATAAGAATGAGCAACTGAGAAAATGAAGGGTAAAAAGAAAAAGAGATTGGCTGCAAACGTTTTGCACCCCCATGACCTTTATTCATTGATGGCTTAGTAGTTAGGCTCTCGGACTAGCAGTCGTAAGGTCATGGGTTCGAATCCCGTGACACACAAAACGTTGCCTCCGTTGAAAAGGCATTTTACACGAATTTTCCCCACTTCCCCTTCGTGGAAATGGGTATCCAGCAAAAGACAACAGCGAAAGATCTCGACAGTTTGTTAGTCTGAGAGCGGGTGCAATCCGCAGTTTGCACTGTAGAGAATGTTTCTGAGTGTTCCAGGGTCTCCTAGGGGTAATAATTGTTACAAAGGGTGTAGAGGATGCTGTAGAGGGTGGATATGAACTATATAATTGAAGATATCTTTAGTAGCAGTAGCAGTAGCAGTAGCAGTAGCAGTAGCAGTAGCAGTAGCAGTAGTAGTGGTAGTGGTAGCAGTAGTAGTAGTAGTAGTAGTAGTAG